GAAAAACACAGGCAAGGAGGAAGAAAGCCACTGAAAAGGCAAGCAGGCTGGATGGGAGCCAGAATTCCAGCAGAAGACACTCCTCCCATAATTCTGTGAGAGTGGAAGCTGACAAGGGTGGCTCTTTAGACCTGTGGTAGGAAGATGCAGCAAGGCCCACTAGGCATTCTTGCACACTTACAACTCTCTTTCATTATGTGCCCCTTTGTGTGTATGCCTTTCCCTGCAAAACTGAGCTCCCTGAAGGCAGGCTTTGTTCACAGACGTATCGTCAGAACTAACAGAGTAGATGCTCAGAAAAGTTTCTGAATGTGATATGACATCCAAGTGGAGATGTTATTGAAAAGCAACTAGAAATAGAGATCTGGATTTCAGAGCAAGGACAGGCAAGAGATGAGTGTGGAAGTCATCAGCTGCAGTAATAGCCACTCAAAATGACAGGCTCACAGAAAGGCAGGGCAGGGAGGAGAACAGAATGTTACCATACTCTCTCCAGGAGAGTCCCTTGGATGGAGTAGGGAGGACCCAAGGAACAGACACTGAAGTGGAACAAAAAGCACCACGAAGCATCTTCTTGTTCATTACACCTAGGCCTGTTTCTGTGGATTCCCCACTTAGCCTCCCTGCTTCCTTCTTATGGCATTCCATCCTACAGTGGAGGGAAGGGGCTTTGTAAGTTGTTTGACATTGGATTTTAGTAACTAAGAAGGGAAACTTGAAATGTCTGAAGGGGTGGAGGGGAGAAGTCCGTGATGGTTCCACTTGTTACTTCTTCACAAGTAATTTCACTCACAGCCCCTTACAGGTCCCTCAGCGTGTCTCTGTGCGGGATTCTGAGAACTGACTAAAGATTTAAATCCAAGCAGCCTTTCTGGAAGGATTATTCTATTTGACTTGAAGCCTAGCTCTAATATGGAATGAACTAAGATTTTTCAAGTTCCATACAAAAACATTCGTCAAGCAGCCATTAGCGCCTCAGGACTCTAATAGAAATAAAACACACTGCTATTTGTGTTCCTGCCTATCACTGAGGGTCGGAGGGAGAGGGACAAAGGTGGATTTGCTGCAAGTTGAAGGGGGGTCAGTCTCATGCTCAGTGAGAATAAAGCAGCAGTTACTGACTTGCACCCCAGAAATGGGTGGAAACAGAGGTTCATCATCTTTGCTTCCAGAAAAAAAGATGAAGATATACAAGCAGAGTGCTTGAGACAGGGACACTTTTCCTTTGGATTTTTTGGCCTCCATGTTTTCTCTGATTGGTGGACAATTCACTTACCAGGTCCCAGGATTCCAAAAAGAAGCAGTACCCAGATGCAGAAGGCAAGAGATAATTTCCCTCTCTTCATCTTGAAATAACCCATGGTGGGTTGTTACCCAAAATGCCTGGGTCTGAGGCAGAGATGGGCTGCAAAGAGGGGTGGATGTTTGGCCATCTCAATGGTACATGAATGTTGTAAGAAAAGCTAAAAGCTTCCAGGATTCAGGGTTGCCTGGGCACTGGGAAAGTTGGACTCGTGGGTTCCACAGATTTACTTACACATTATGTCTGACTTAATTCTCTTCTCATTTGACTATAACTGTAGCAATTTATAGTTGCTACTATACCATAACTTCTTTGTACCTCTCCTTGCCAGGGAGGGGCATCTCTGAGGCCATTGCTCCCTGACAATGTGGGGAGGGGTGAAGAGATGGAGAGAACAAGGTAGACCCATCCTGTCAGAGGACAGGGAGACCCCCCTCCAGGCCAGAGGTCAGAGGATCTAAGGATTTTGTATTTTCTGGGACAAGGCCTGGTTAGGAGGCAGGGGGAGAAAGTGAAGTGACTGAGTCCTTGATGCTTGCAAGGGTCTTGGTCTTACTGTGTTCATCACTACTCTTCAGGGCAACTGTGAGGGGATCTGGGGACTGGAAGGAGAGGATGGAGAGCCAGCTACTAGGAGGCCATTTAATAGGTCTTGGAGGCTGGCAGGAAAGACCTTGGCACTGGGCTGGCTGTTGGGACCAGAAAAACATAGTCTTAGGTGTCCAAGGAGCTGCAAGAGGAGACCTGAATTCTGGAAGACAGTGCTGGACACTCTGGCACAAGCCTCAGTTACACTCCATTCCTTAGGTGTAACCTAAAGTGTCCAGTAATCTCCCACACACCCAGTCCTGCTGCCGCCTCGCGTGGAACTGACTCCACTAAAGAGCGTAATGAAATGGAGGCTGGAGAACACAAAGCAACTCTGGTCCATACGGGCCAGGCGGATCTGAACAGGTCTGCCCTGTTTTCTCACCTATAAAACAGGCCTGAGAAGAAAGAACTTGCAAGGTGACCGTAAGGTTGACAGAGTGGTGTCCGGGAAAGCAGCACGGGCGTTTGGTAGTTTACTATCGATTTAGATTTAGCGTGGGAGTGAAGCCCAAGCCTGTCAGTCTGGTGATTAGGGCAGGAAGCCGGGGACAGAAACTGACCCAGCAGATCCAGGCTGGGAGCCACTGGGCTCTCTGGCCGTGGGAGCCGCTACCAGACGCGGGGCCGAATTCCTGCTGCCCAGAAGGTGCCCGCGGCCAAGGACCACTAATCAGCAATAAGGGAAAGAAATCTGAGAGCCGCCGGCCAGGGAGGCATCGGGGCCTCCTCAGCCGGAGCCCAATCCGCCCTCGTGTCTTAGAGGCCACTCGTTCCTGGCAGTGATGTCCCGGAGGCTAGGAGTACATGAGTGTGAGGAGGGAGCGAATTCCCTCCCGACCTACTCATTAAATAATTATCCCTAATGAGGCCCAGTCCGAACTTGTTAAAGGACTTCCCCTAGATATCAGGGTGAAAGTAGGAAAAAGGGAGGCAAGAACCCTGGAAAGGGAGCAGTAGTCCACAGCCGCCAGGGAAGAACCCCATTCCACCTGCACCCCTTGGACCTAAGTGCTGCGTTTCTGTGCCTTGGCAGTGGAGGAGGAGCTGGGTTGATATTTAAGACTTTAGGAGTAAAGATGTTTCTGTTTCATCTCTTTTATTAGTATCCAGACTTGGGGGGATTCAATGGTTAGAGGCTGGGACTGGGGTTCTCCATATTCCTCCCAGGACTAAGACACTCCTGTTCTGGCAGCCCATACACATGCTAATTTACCACCTGCCCAAACAACTGAAAACCACTCCTTCCTCCCACATCCTTTTCTCCCGGGCTCCCCCACTGTCTTCCAGAACCCATGAGTCTCTCTGCCACAGGCTTTCACCAGGGACCCAAATCTGGTGTCCCACTGGCATTTGCATACCTCCTTTCTGAGATCAACGTTCTATCTTGTCCTTAGCAGAGCCCATCTCTGCTGGGCTCTGCTGACAGCCGGGGTCAGATAATTGAGGGCCATCCATATCAGGGTTGGGATTACTGTCCATGATAGCTTCCAGCTTCCCACAAACAGGAATGCCAAAAGTAGTAAATAGTGACCTGTGACCCTGCTGTTTGATTCTGGTTGGAGTTAAGGTGGAAAGGACGCTAGCAAACTGGAGTGCCTTTCTTGTCTGTGAGGATGTCATCTTCCTCCAGAAAGAGCAAGAGCCAAGGCTATGTGGGTGACAGGCAGGGTGCTATTGGGACTAACCTGAGCCCAGAATGCTTTTGGAGCAGAGCTGAAGTCCTAACATAAATATGGGCATGTGGATGCTCGTAAATATTGGGTTTAATTAATTGGAGTGTTGTTTTATTCTGTACAGTACTTCCTTGTGACCACTTTTGTTAGTTTTCCTGTGTTCATGTCTCAGGTGGGAACCATGTCTTACACTTCTTTACATCCTCAACAGACTATAGAATGGATGCTTCAAAGTACTTACTTACTAACACGTTTTTCCCTCATTTTATCACCATGCAAATAAACTTGGCATGAAATGAGGCTAGCTTTTATCAAAACCCAGAAACAGTCATTTTAGAAATATAGAAATTTGGCTTCTGTTTGGTGCTCCAGAGCTCCTTTCCTCCCTTGTCCCCTCCTACCCAGGATTAAGTCATAACCAGAGCCAGAACACCAGTCAGTTCTCCCAACTGATAGTCCACTGAGTCCTTTTTTTATAAATATGTTACACTTTATTATAAAAACAACCAACAGATGGAAGGAAACTGTCATTTGTCCACTGTCCCCACCCCCTTGCATCAACTCAGTCAGTAATAGGTGAAAGGGCTGTCATAAGTTAGAAAATCCAGAAAGCAGACACAGATGAACTCCCACAAGGAAGAAAATTGGAACCTGGGGAAGATGTGGGGAAAGGGCCAGGTCAGTAGAGAAGATGAGCAGCTTCCAAGCCTAAAGCCAGGATTGGCTTTATGTGGAAGCGACAGGAAAATGAATGCTGAGTGGGGACACCATCAGAAGAGCCATCTGGGTGAGAGATATTTATGATCTTTTCTGGAATTATCCTTTCTCCAGAGAATGGAGAGAGTAGAGAAGGAATTACTATAAATCCTCTTTTCTTCTTAAATCCTTTTTTTTTTTTTCATTTAAAAAAAAGAAGGGCAAGTATCCTGGAATTCAGAGATGGGTCTGTACACATTCAAACTCTTAAGTGACAGTGGATGAACATAATGTAGATCAGTCCTGAAATCCAAGAGCTCTGTCCTCATTCTCCCCACTTCCCAGGACCCCCAGTCACAAGTCAGTCTGAAGCATTGCCTTCTAAGGCTCCTGCACCTCTCTTAGCCATTCCCCTCCCAGGACTTAGTGTCCTGCCTTGGTCCCCACCCCACCTGTCCATGAAACACTTTCTCATTCTCAGACCATCACCTGCTACGGAGAACACTTGCTTGAATTGTTTACTCTTCTCATTCCTTGAAACTTAAATCCTTCTTGCATATCACCTCATTCACCAACCAGTTTCAGTTAAGAACACAGCTGTCAGACTGCTGACTTTTAAGTGTACTGACAGTATTTCTGCCTTTTGTGGAGTCCAGGAAATAGGAATTGTGAGTCTAATTCATCATCCAGGGAAGGGTAGAGCCTGGAGCTGGGATTAGATGCCTTTTAAAATATCATTATGAGGAAGGAATCTGGCCCCTGTTAAAATTCTGCTGCTCCATCAGGTAGACAGGGTAGGAATTGGGACCCCCATCATCCTCTGGATCATTGTCCTCAGTATTCTGGATCAGTGTACCACGTGCTCGAGTCATAAAGGCAACCTGAGATTGAGATGAGAAAGGAAGAATGAGAACCATCTGTTGTGCCATTTGCTTTCCTCAATACCCACATCTTGGGTGGGGTGGGGGAGAAAAAGAAATACATACATCTCATTCTCTTGATTCTCTTCTTCCTAATCCTGTACCTTTTATTTTCTCCTTTCCCAAAATTCCATCCAAACCTCTATTCCTATTTGAGTCCTAGATCCAATACACTGAGTCCCAAATTCCATCTCCAATCCCCTGCCCCTCTGTCCTATTCTCCTTGTCCTTATATCCCCTATTCTTATACTCTACACTCTACTGCCAATCCCCCAATTTTCTCTCTTGTCTCAGTCACAGCCCAACTCTAATTTTTCACATTTTGTATACTTTTCCCCTTCATTTTACCCCCCATTACCATGCTCCACCCCACCATAGCTCTTTTTCCAGAGTCGTTATTCCTTCTAACTCTGACCCCAACCTCTTCTCAACTCCCTATCTTATGGGTTCATTTCCCTAGGGCACTGTTGTCCCTTACCAAGAAGATCAGGCCAATGAACACCAGCAGCAAAATCACAGCCACCAGGATCACAATAACTATGGCCCATGCAGGGAACGAGTCATTCTCCCCTGTCACTCCAGCATGGAGCCCTCCTGATGAACCATCGTTATTCTGGTTTGGATGGCTCTGGTTGCCTGGGTTCCTGACATGATGGTACTCAGGTGCATGCCAGATGTGGTGAGTTTCAAAGAATTTGTAGGCCCTTGATGGATAACCTCGGTTTTGTTCAAATGAGAAAAGGCAGTAGTGACAGATTTGTCTCCTGTGGTCTTGAGCTGAGGTCTTGTGGCCTCTGTGACTTCTGCTGTGTTTTTTGAGGTTTCTGTGGACTTTATTGAGGTTTTTACGGTCTCAGTCACCAGTGTGGTCTTCTTTGGCAATACTATAGGATTTCCTGAGACTGTTGTGGTTTTGTCTATGGTTGATGTGGCCTCCTCTGGAAATTCTGTAGGCTTTGCTAAGATTTGTGGCGTCTTCTTTTGGGCCAATGTGATCTTTCCTCCAATCTCTGTAGGTGTTACTTGGGGTCTTGTGGTCAACTCATTGGCTGATATGGTCTTTTCTTCATGCTCTGTAGTGGTTACTTGGGCTCTTGTGGTCTCATCAGCTAATGTAATCTTTCCTTCATGCTCTGTAGGCAGTGCTTGGGTTCTTGTGATAATCTCATTGGCTGATATTGTCTTTCCTTCATATTCTGCAGATGTTGCTTGGGCTCTTGTAGTTGTCTCATTGGCTGATGTGGTCTTTTCTTCATGTTCTGTAGGCATTGTTTGGGCTCCTGTACTCTCATCAGCCAATGTGACCTTTCCTTCGTGTTCCACAGGTGTTGCTGGGACTTTTGTGTCCTTCTCACTCACTGATGTGGTCTCTTTGATGTGTCTTGTAGTATTTATGAAAGACTTATCTGAGGCATCTGTAGTCCTATAATCTTCAGCTCTTTCTGATGTTTCTGGGGTTCTTGTAGTTTGGAGTTCTTGTGATAGCCATGTGGCTTGTGTGGTTTTTTCTGAGGAAAATATTGTTTTCCTGTTGACATCTGGATTGACTGAGTTGTGGAAAGGAATTGTGATCTCATGTGAGGTGGTCTTTTTCTTATCTAAAGTAGTGATGGTCTTCTCCACTGGTCTTACAGTTGAACTTGAATTTCTTGTTACTCTTGTTTTTCTTGTTTTGGGTTTACACGTTGTTTTACTCTTGGGTGCTGAGGTTGGAAATTTTTCACCAGATGATATTTTCTCTGTGTTAGTGGAGTCAGTGAGATTGACAGAGCGTCCATTCGGATCACTGGGTCTTTTTCCTGGCTGCTAGTGTTTTGTTCAGAAGTTGGAAGAGCTTCATGATGAGCTGTTGAGATTTTGTGGTCTGTGGTTTTAGAGGTGTCTATTGGTTTGTGAGTTGGCTTGAACCACGTGTGGTGTTGCAGTGCGTTTTGGCTTATGAGTTTCTGTAAGCTTAGGGAGATCTGAAAGTCTCTGTCCTGAGTGCAGAGTAGGGGATTCAGAGGAATATTATAAATAAAGCCTTGAGTAAGGGGGAATAAATGATCAGATAGAATTCACCAGTTTTCTGAAGCTCTTGAGATGTACTAGTACCTGTGGAGGGAGAGAAGCAAATAAGAAACTTCCCTAAGTTCTTCCCTCCATCTCTAGGGGTCCCTTGGATCTCCCAGATGTCTCCTCAGCCAGTATCCTTAGAATACCAGGATGTCTAATCCCCATCCTCACCTCTACTTTTTGACTTTTGATTAGGCTATGCCTTCAACATAATGCCACCTCCCTTATTTCCCACATCTACTCCTCAGTTGTCATCTTAGGTCTTTCTGGCATCTTTCTTATTCCTCTAAGTGGTTAAGGTCTAACATCATTCCATATTCAGAAGCATCTTAATTCTTTTCCTGTTACTTCAATTTGATGTTATGTTTGTCTGTGTGACTGTCAACATGTACTTCTTATCATGTCTATCAAATTGTAAGGTCTTGAGGACAGGATTGACTGGCATTTTGCTCTGCAAGTACTCTTTTAGGACTGTAGGCTTATAGAATGGACTCCATTTTCCATGGCAGAGCTGAGAGGAAAAGGAACAAACTTCTGTCTTTCTGAAACATTCCAGCTCCATCCCAAATGTAAACATGTGAGAAACTGAGGTCAGACCTCTGGCAGAACATCCCATAGAGATCAGCAGATTGACAAATTGTAAGTGAGAGAAGTAGAAAAGAAATGGAAGATGGGTAGAGGAAATAAATGGAAATTTCCACTTTCATGATGATGCTTGGTCTGAGTGGAGAGAAATAAATGTGATGATTCGATTCTGTGTAGCATTTTGGAAAGGGACTGTGGTGCTACCATGGATCCCCTTCTTCACCTACCTAATGTTATCTGGGTATAGATGAAGGCGGTCCTCTCGACAGTAAAAGATATCTCCTTTTGTGGGGGTCTGACAGTAGTGAATGAGGCAGCTGGATTGTGAGAGGACTATGTTTAAGGACAGGGTGTAAAGGAAAATACCCTATCGGTGTACAGATATAAGCCTTAATTCCATGGGAAAACAACTGGATATGGACAGGGGATATGTTCTGATTCTATCCAGAAGAATGAGAACCAGGAGGCCACCAGAGAATGAGGAGAGATTGTGGCTACAGAACTGAGATTGCCAGTCTCTTGTTAGCTCAAGGCGGCAACCAAAACCTGGACCTGTTCCCAGTCATGGGAAACCATAATCCACCCAGCACTCTGCTGACAAGGAGACTGGAGCTGGAGGACTCAGTCATTAAAAGAAATATGGGTGGAAAAAGAGGGTAAGGGTAACAGAGAAACCCACATTCCTGAAGCAAGTCAAGGTTAGGAGGAAAGAAAAGGGATGAATTATCTGGTCCTCATTCCTCTGCCAGTTCTATTCTCTGATTCCCTTAACAGCAATTCCAATAATAGCTGTCACTTATTGGGCATCTTTTCTAAGTACTATAGTTTGAATCTTGAGTGTCCTCCAAAGGCCCCTGTGTCCCTGACTTGCACTATTGGAGGTGGTGGAACCTTTAGAGGTGGAGCCTAGTAGGAGGTTTCAGGTTGTTAGAGTTGCCCTTGGAAAGGGATGTGAGGCCCTAGCCCCTTCCTTGTTTTTCATTTCTGATCATGAGGTAAATGACCTTGCTCTGCCATGCTCCACAATAGTGGGGGCCACAACAGGCCAGAACAACAGGGACAATTGTCATGGAATCAACCCTCCAAAACTGTGAGCAGAATAAGCCCCTTCATCTTTATAAGTCAATTGTCTCAGGTTTTGGGGGTTTTTTTCTTGCAGTAACAAAAGCTGTCTGTCACATAGGCCAAGTGCTTGGCTGGTTGCCTCACATTCTTTTCCTCAGTGGTTGATCTCCCAGTTCCCACAATGCTCCTGAGAAGCTGGCAACTGCTCCTATTTACATGTGCAGCACTGGAGTTTCCCCAGGGAGGAAAAGTGACTTACAGCAGTCCCGGCAATAGTAACAGCCAGCTCTCTTGAGTACTATGAGACAGCCAGGTCTTAGGAGTGAGAGCAACCTTTACTTTTCACAAGAAGCCCTTGAGTTTGAGAAGTATTTACTATTCTCCCAACTTTATACTTAATCAGAGTGATTAAGTAGTCAGCTCAGGGACACCAGAGAGTAAGATGGAGCCAGAATTCAAATGCACATTCTGGGCTCCAGAATGGGAGGTGGTGGAACCTTTAGGAGATGGGGCCTAGTAAGGGGTCCAGATTTGTACTGGTTAAGACCACAGCGCACAAGTCACTCTAGTCTCTTGGAAGGAAAGATACTGACATTTGTGGACTCCTGAAGGATGCTGTTCCTATATGTTTATTTAATCTTTTCACAAACCCACAAGCTAGAGTTATGATCTTACAGTTTTACAGGTGAGGGAAGGAGATTTGGAGAACTTAAGTAATTGGCAAAGTCAGACTTTCCACTATACCCCAGATGCTTTTAAACCTGACAAGGAATGAATAAATATTTGTTGAGTGAATAAATGAGCAAGTAGCAGCACAGAGTGGCAAATTTCACTGGCCTTGAAGCATCCGAGTCCAGACTCTGTCCCTCACACCTTTGTATCCTTGCTGAGGTCATTTAAATGTTCAGAAGCTCCACATCCTCAACTATAAACACTGATGTTGACTGCACCAACTTATTGTGAGATTAAAGGAAGTATGGAGCATAGAAAAACTCTTGAAGTGTGTGTTGAATTCAAATTGTAGTTTTTGAAACAGTTTCATGCCTTGTTCTATTCTCCTGGTGGTACAGAGCCAGAGCCTGTGGCTCCATCCTCCTGCCTGCAATGGCCCAAGCGTCTCCTCTGACCCACCTGCTCCTTCCACCTCTAAGGCCTAACTTGACCGCCCCCTTTACACACTCCTGCATACTTGGGCCATTTCTCCTGCTGTATTTTATCAACATAGCTCACAATAAATACAGTATTTTTTATAATGGCAAGTTTTTTTAAATTTCGTTCATCACTATATCTCTGGCCTAAAACAGTATCTGACCCATAGGGTGCACTTCATAAGTATATAAGTAGGCAAGTAAAAGAATACTTTAAGACCATTGAAGCTAGGTGCTGGTGGCTCACACCTGTGATCCTAGTTACGCAGGAGGTAGAAATCAGGAGGATTAGTTTAAAGCCAGCCAGGAAAAAGTTCTTGAGACCCTATCTTGAAATAACCCATCACAAAAAAAGACTGGTGGCTCAAGGTGTAGGCCTGAGTTCAGACCCAGAACAACAACAAAAAACTTTAGAGGCCTTGACAACAACCAATCATTGTGCACATTAAGTAAAAACCAAACATATTTGTCACTTCCAAAGTTGGGAGACCAAGGGCTGACTTCTGCTATGTTAAGTAATTGATCCCTGAGACAAAATGATGTTAAAAGAAGGCCTCTGGCCCACCAATTCTAGGATGCCAATTGTCATTTAACCAGAGTCATAGTCAACAATTAGACTCAGATAACCAGATGTTAGAATTCCAAATCTGCCTCATATGGTTGTGAAATCATTGACTAAAATCTGGAGTTGAAGCTTGAGGAATTCCTTGGTCCTGATCCCAGTCCTGAAGCAAATCAGTGACTAAACCCCAGGATAAGAGGACCATTTCTTCACCCCAGTAGATCTACTACCATTGGTACAAACTTTATTTCCCTAGGAGGTTTTCTATCATGAGACATTCATTTTACTTACTATCATAATGGTCTGAAAAGAACTATTTTGGTCAGTAAAGAATAAGCAGAGAGTACAAAGAGAAAAATCTGGCTTTAGAACAAGAGACATTAGGTTGATGCTTAGCCTGCATAATTCCAAAGGTCTCTTCCATCTTGCTTATTTTCACAAAGGACATCCTGTGAAGTGACTCATGTCTTGGGGTCTCTGTCAGGACAGCCTCATCCAAAAGAAGATTCCTAGTGTTTCTTGCTGTCCCCCACCCCCAAAATGGCTTACTCCATTTACAATTTACAATAGTGTGGATAGATCTTGTCAAAATGTCTATGCAGTATGAACTCAATAAAACCTAAAACACAGACAGAAAACAGAAACACTGAAGGGAAATGTATTCAAATGCTTTCCTAAGGACTGGAGGTATTCAGAAAGATTTTGCTTTTCTATTTTTTTCTATTTTCCAGTTTCTACAATGAACACACATTATTCTTGTCATAGAAATTAAATCAAATGGCATTTGTTATAGGAAAATGTCCTTTTGAGATTCTCCCCAGGACTCCAATCCTAATTCCCATATCCCACCCCAT